GATATACCTTAAACAAAGCAAAATCACGAGTTCTACAATCCTATAATTAGTTTAGTCCATTATCTGGATGCGCATCCTAATTATAAGAAAAATTCAAAAATGACCCAAAATCCGGCTTCAAAATGTCAGCATCCTTTTTGGGTGGATGCAGTGATTATATCGAAAAATCATACATTACAACCATATTGTCCATGGGGTATTCTGCAACATAGTCACTGATCACATGTGCGTGCGTTGTGTAGTTTAGCCACAAATCAGGAACGAACACAAAAAAAATCGTTAGCTTCAACACATTTTCACCCATTTTTTTACATTACCACCATAACAGCTTCCACGCAACTTATTATTTATTACCAATATTTTAAGATTTTGACAAGAACACTTCATTTTATAGAAATGAATTTAAATTATATGCAATATGTTCATATTTCGCGAGTTATAAACTTGCAAACCTCAGCTTCAAGGAATTTAAAAGATTTTTGTAATTTCCCATATGTTGTCTCTCGCACAAGATATACAACACGCAGACAAAGTCAGAATTATAGAAAAGTCCGAGAAATTGAATAAATCGATAACAGGAACATAAGTAGACTTTTCTCGTCCAACACCATAAGTCGCCCAGAGCTATATAGTAATTAATGACTCCTATTTAAAAATGTGAAATGGTTAGGCCACGCCATATGGAAAAGGACGCTTCGATGATTTTCCCATCACGCAATAGAGTTTGTCAAAGAAAAATATGGCACCAAACAATAATAATTGTCTAAAATTTTGAATAAAGGTGCATGGTTTTACATGGGCCCATTTCCGATATATGTATGTCCTCCAAAGCGACTGTAAGTTTACAAAAATTGTTATACCTTCAACTTTATGGCTGAGTATATACACTTCGCTACGGCAAAAATGTGGCTCACCGAAATATTGGTTTTAAACCTTATGCTTCTTTGGACCAAATCCGTTTCAGACAATTTGGAGTCGATTTACAAATGTCCGTCTGTCTATCTGGCTGGCTAGTGTGCACGATAACTCTCTAAGGGTATAATCGATCTCATCCAAACAGTACACATCGTAATATTTCTTCCAAACTTAAATCAAATTCGAAAATGGGACATATGGGTCATCTTTATACCCTACACAACTATGTTGTCAGGGTATTATAGCTTTGTGCAGCCCCAAAAGTTTGTAACGCCGCGAAATATTGGTCCTAGACCCACCTTTAAGTATACCGATCGTCATATCTCGACTAGCTGAGTCGATCTAGACATGTGTGTCCGTCCGTCTGTCCGTCTGTCCATTATAATTTGTAAACACGATACAGGCCACAGTTATGGACCAATCTTCACGAAATTTTGCATGTCGGTAGGGTTCTGGCCAATGAAGACCCCTATTGTTTTTGAAAAAGATCGGTTAATATTTAGGGGATGAAATGGACCAAAAACTTTATTTTTGTCGGTTTTTCTGGTCGCTCCAGAGACCGCAATTATGGCCCAAACACCGATTTTTTGCATGGAGAAGGGGATCGGGCCAAAGAAAATGTATGCCTGTTTTGATAAAGATCGGTCAATATTTAGCGGGTCAAATGGACCCTAACTTTTGTGTGAAAAAAGACAAAATTTGGTTTCTACACCGTATATATTTACTCCTGAAGGATATAAACCCAAATGTTAATAGTATATTAAAGAGGAGTGGTTGACCTTTAAATCGATACCAAATATATTGTCGTATGTACCCGGATGTGGGAGTTACACATAAATATTTACAGGTGGTTACGTGTTCGTATATTATTTAGTAACCCATTACCGCACTAAAGGGCGGAAATATAGAGCTGATCGCTTTGAAGTTTTCCATGAGGATCCAGGTATGGTCAAGGACAATGCCCATAATTTTCGGTGGTGATCAGATAGTAGTTTTGGGATAAAGTGAACGAAAACTTATTTTTTGTGTAATTTGAAGCCGATCTATAGGCCACAATTGATAGCCGAACTTCACAACCCGTAGGGTGAAGGGAATCTAGACAAGTAATTAGGAAGGCTGAATATTAGTAATATTTGTTGACCTCTAGTCCGTCAATAGGGTGCAAATATCGCGAAATATTGCCCAACCTCAGAACGTAAAACCACAGAAAGTTAGACTTTCGTGGAAGTTGTGTAGGGTATCATATCGGTCGGCCCCGTCCGACTATACTGCTCACTGGTTTTCTGGTATCTCCCCAACAAAATTGTAAGCATTATTTTTGAAAGGAATTTTAAAATATCATTCGAAGGGACTATCCAATCTTTCTACGCAAAGGGTAAAAATTTTGAAAATTTTCAAACTTCATATGTAGCCATCGCCATATTCACATTTAATCCAAACATCGTTCTATTTGTAACAAGCCTAGATCAAGTCCGCAGATGGGACTCATCTGTTTACTCCTTCTGCGCGCTCAAGAACCCCAAAATACCGAAAATTGGAGTGTACACTTATATGGGAGATACCCCAAAAAATTAACCTATATATAATTTTTTTGTTTTGGTACATATTAGGAACTCAAAATACAAAATTCGGTGAAAAATCCGGTCAAAATCCCGAAACTGAAAATTGGGGAGTAACTTATATGGGAGCTACCAGAAAAAGTGGACCTATATTTATAATTTTTAGTGGGGCAATTTGGTACCGAATAAGAATACAATGTACCAAGTTTCGACGAATTCGGTTGAAAAACGCGCTTAAGAACCCCAAAATGCCGAAATTTGGGGGCGCCCTTATATGGGAGGTATGCCCAAAACGTGGACCGATATAGCTCATCTTCGAACTTGACCTGCTGCAGACAAAATACGAGTCTATGCGATATTTTGGCGATCTATCTGAATTCGTTTAGAGGCTAGAGTGATTACAACAGACAGACGGATATGGCTAAATCGTCATAGAATTTTACGCTGATCAAGAATACGTATATATTATAGGGTCGGCTATGATGGAGGGTATAAAATACAAAAAAAAAAAAATTTTTTCGGTGCACGTCATCCCAAAATTAGTATCTGATCATCACCGAAAATTACATGCGTTGTCCTTGAACATAACTGAAACCTCATGGAAAATTTCAAAGCGATCAGATCTATATTTCCGCCCTTTTGTGCGGCAATGGGTTACTAAATAATATATGAATACGTAGACACCGGTACATATTTATGTGCAACTCAAACATCCGAGTACATACGTTAATATTAATGGCATCAATTTAAAGGTCAACCATTCCTTTTGGATATACTATTCACTTCTCGGGCCTATGCCCTTCAGGAGTAAATATATCCGTCATAGAATACAAATTTTGTAATTTTTCACACAAAAGTCTGGGTCCATTTGATCCAAAACAGGCATGTTTATTCTTTGGCTCGATCTACTTCGCGATGTTCGGGACCTAATTGCAACCACTGAAGCGACCAGAAAAACCGACAAAAATTAAGTATTTGGCCCATTTTATCCCCTAAATATTAACCGAGGGTCTTCATTGATCAGAACCCATTCTACATGCAAAATTTCGTGAAGATTGGTTCATAACTATGGCCTGTATCGTGTTTATAATTTATAATGGACAGACGGACACACATGTCTAAATCGACTAAGCTAGCCCATATTTAACATTAACATAGCATGAATTCGTTAATATAATACATAAATTAACGAATGGTCAGACAACTATGAGCCACCTTAATTGAAAGATAGCCGTTTTGTTTAAAAAACGTGCTCAAAATCCCCAAAGTACCAAACGGACCCCCCTACCCTGAAACTTAAGTCAATATTGATGGTTTTTGGTACGAAAATTTCACACATAATGAGAATTAAAAATTCTAAATTACAGCGAATTTGGTAGAATAACGCATCCAAAATAATAAACGCATCCACATTTCTAAAGGCAATTACGATTTGTTATGGTTATCTTAAAATTACACCTTCATAATAATCACTAATTCCATCAGTTTAATTTCATGTTAATATTTTGACACATGTAAAGAGAGAGGATATATTGGAAATATATCCGACTCGTCCAATAATCTAGTTCCAGTAGGTCTATCTAGTTGTCTGATTTTTTTTATTTTCTTCTCTTGTTCCTCTTCTTGAACTCATTCCGAAAAAGATCGATCCGCTCAAGGAACCAGATTGCCCAACACTAGTAATTTTGTTGGTGCAGGCCAATTTTTAGAAGTATCTGTAAATTGTCATTACTTTTTGTCAATTGATAGTCTAGGAATTAACTGCATATGCTCAGTGTTTTATGTCATGCTTTGTTTTATTAATATTTCGTAGACTGCAGACTCTTTGGCGCTAAAAAAAAAACAAATACGAAATCCTCTTCATAAAAACATAAACAATGTGACTAATATGATTTTTTTAAAATATGAAATTTAATAAAGGTTCTACACTTTGAGTGCGGCTACTTCTAATCACTCATAAATGTTCCATATTTATGCGTGTTTCAAGAGGCTGCCAAAACTCGATTTCCTATGTCTATGGAAATTTATACCAACTATAATATAATAATTTAGAACGAAATCAAACTGGCTTTTTTGCACTCCCGGCAACAATCCGAATGCAGTTCCCTTGCAAAAAAACATGAATTAAAGAAATGTGTTAAGCACATCTAATCAACCCTGACATTTCATTTCATAGCATCACGTTCTTGAATTTTAATTTTTTCGGATTCTAGCTAATGATGTGGCCAAACAGTGTGATCTGTTTCTATTGAAGAATATTTTCTAGGTATTCTTTTGTTTTATTTTTCGTTTGCAATTCGGTAAATTTTGTGAGCGAAATAACTTTGCGTTATTTTTTATTTAACAGGATGGCGATCATGTTTTGCATGCTTAACTAATCTTACGAATCTTCATTGCTTATTTTTTCGGAAATAGATTAGAGTATAAAAACTGGACTCTTTGAAAAAATTGACATCACTTTCATTGTAGCCTTCAGAAAGATCAGAATTTCAAGTTTAACAAACAAACAAAAAACCACCGAAAAAAATGTTCAAATTTGTAAGTGTTATATAGAGTAATATATTGTGATTATTTTAATAGCTGAAAAATTGTCTGCGGGCAAAGAAAATTATTGTGTGGAAATTTATAAACAAATATATAATTGAGAAAACTAAAAAAGTGAAAACCAAACCAAACAGACAAAATGAATATTTCGGAATGCAATAATTTCTCATAAAAATTATATAAGTGTAAAATAGGAAAATATGTGAACTCTATACAGTATAAATAAATCATTTATGACGACATATCAGTTATAACGACGGTATCCAAATTTTCCGAAAAAAGTTCTGTCGTTTATCGCTTCCTGATATCGCTTATATAGACAATTTTTGCCGGTCTCTTAAATGTCGTTAAAAAAGATTTTGACTGTAGTAGAAAAAAACTGCGACCTGCAAAAATGAAAAATGCATGCGACCGTAGTATCAGTTATGTATAATTGTCCCAAATATCGTTACAGAGCTCGCAATATTAAAAATAGAGCTTTTCAATTTTACATTGCAACGACACCTAGAATACCTGTCTGGCATTGGAATATAGAATATTTCTGAAAACTTATCCTCGCTCATAAAATTTTAGATAGGGTCTCCAAAGACATGACATCGATATTCGTATGATTCATTTTCCACTTTTACCCGATCCTTGCTCCGAAAAACTTATAACTAAAATGTACATTTTGAACAACTGGCCGAGTCTGAAATATTTACCATAAACATTTGTTATTTTAAATGTATTTTAATTACTAAATCCTTGCTTATTTATGTATCATTTCAGGTTGTAGTATTCGCTTGCATTGCCGCTTTGGCTGTTGCCGCTCCCGTCAAGGAAGAAAAGGAAATTATTGAAATTCTGAAATCGGAAATTACCAAAAACGACAATGGCTCCTATCAATTAGCCTATGAATCTGCCGATGGTAGCATTCGCGAAGAAAAAGCCACCGTTGTCGATGAAGGTACCGATGAGGAGGCTCTAGAAATCAAGGGCTCCTACAAATACATCAACGATGCCGGTGAAGAAGTTGAAGTTTTCTATACCGCTGGCAAAAATGGTTTTGTTCCCTATGGCAGTATCATTAATCCCGAAATTACTGCTGTAGCTGAAGCTGCTAAAGATTTGCCTAAATACGAAAATGAATACGCAAAGAAATCCGAATAAGTAAATTATCTCCGAAAATTGACTCGTTGCATGGAAGAATGCCTGAAGAAATGGACAAGGGGACAGAAAATAACGCATTGTAACATTGTCATCATCTCACTATCGAAATTCGTTTAAGTTTAGAAATTTAAGTGTGACATTTGATATATAGTATTTAGTTTGTAGCAGTAAGCATGTCTGTATGTATGTGTCAGCGTTATAATAAATCCCTTAAGATTGTACACCAAAAACTTATTTGGAAGATTGTGTTGGTAATGTAAAACTATCAACATTTATATACAGAAAATATTTAAATTATGATTGATATGATTGATTATCATTGATTCCCTGATAATCAAGGACCAAATAAAACCTTGAATGTGTATCCAGAGTTCAAAGACTTCACTTTCAACAATACAGGGTATGATGAATGCGAAATCTTTGTTGAAAAAATTATATAAAAATTATGATACCCTACACAACTACCACTACCAGCTCTGAGTATCTGCAGATCTATATTCCGAGCCTGGGTCATCGGCATGGATTTCGAATCATGGTTTTCTGTAAATATTTACTCTATAAGATTCAAATTTTGTTTTTTTTTTTACACAAAAAAGTTTTGGGTCAAATCTATTTAATATTAGTGTTTAGATCGCCTTCTCCATTTCAAATTGTTTAGAGCATTTAGAGCGACCATAAAACCACGACTATAAAAAACCGGTCCATTTCTTCCCCGAAATATCACAGATCATCATCGAAAGTAATGTGCGTTGTCCTTGACCTTAGGCAGAACCTAAAGAAATTTCCAGCCATTACTGCTACATTTCCGCCCTATAGTTTGGTAATGATAATACCTAACAGTATCAGAATACTTAGACCCCATTAAAAATTTACGTATAACTCCCACATTTGAAAGCCAACCACACCTCTTGTATATACTTGGTAAAAGGGAAACATTTCAAAATCCCCCTCTGAGAACAAAATAATTTGAAAAGTTCGGGAAAGCAAATCTAGTAAATATGCCAAAATTAGATGAAAATACTTCAAAATCAACATAAGAGCCAATCAGAAGTTGGCATTACTGTTTACCATTTTTTCCCGGACAAGTTTTCGAGTAAAAAGTTTACAAAGAGAACGCAATTTTGTTTTGTGTTCTCTTAAATTTGGTTCAATGTTTTGCCAGTTTTGTGTGTTCAGGAACGGGTTTCGAGTAAATAGTTGCAAAACTTGTAAAATTATTAGATTTTTTTTTAGGTTCTGGAACGGAACTACTGTCAACTTCACGTGTCTATATCCTACAGGATTAAATATATACACCATGGAATACAAATTTTGCCATTTTTCACACAAAAAAAAAGATTCATTTGAGCCGCTAAATATTGACCTTCTCCGCTTTCTCGTGAAATTTCTCTGTAAAATTTCGTGATGTTCGGGTCATAATTGTGACCTCATTACCAAAGCCATTAGGGGTCATCATAGACCAGAACACGTCATACTTTTGTCTAGAACTGTGTCCTGGAGAGATCGATTTCGCAGCGAACTTTTGTAATAAAATAAATGTAATCGTTCGGTACCGTTAAATATATCGCGGAATACCGACTATTTACCATGGCACGAAAAAACGAAACTACAGCCAAAATACCGAATAATAGCCGGTACTGTTATATTGAGGCTACCGTAAATAATAGGCAAATATTGATGATTTGTAGTAGAAAGATTTGCTGTGAATTAAAAACAGTCAATTCGGTTGAAAAACGTGGAATGTAAAAATTATGAACCGAATGGGACGCGTTTCTCTTTATATAAGAGTTATATCAAAACCTACATCAACATTTTTTCGCAGATATATATTTTAAATACATAAATTACTTCCATTTCGGTGGGAAAATTCTTAAAAGTTCGCTATTTCGACGGAAGTACGCGTATTCATTTTTCTGCATAAATGTCTTTGACCTTTGAAACACCGCAATGCGAAATTACCGTTGCATTGATCAAAAAAGGTGGTTAAACCCTTCAAAATACCGAAAATGGGCTGGTATCGTTATAAGGGAGCTATACCAAAACATGGACCAGAAAGATTTAGAACCCAAAACAATTCGGTTGTAAAATATGTCCAACATTTCCACAAAATATTGAATAATAGTAGGTAGGTTTTTTTACCTAATGAGAATCACAAACTTCAAATTGGAGGTAATTCGGTTGAAAAATCTTCGGTAGAGAAATTTTGATAATCTTCTCTAGAGAGATTTTCTTCCCAATGAGAAATCAAAATATTAAACTCCACAATATACCAAAATCTGGGAGGTATAGAACCAAATTCGTTTCTTCTCCAACATAACCTACGTTATAAAGCATAAAATTAAATTAAAAAACTCAAATATTTGTGTTTATTAATGAAATATTTTTTTTTTTCTTGGCGTGGCCAATAACCTTTTGCATATATTTAAGACGACAATAATTTAATAAATATTCAATTCCGAAAACAAGACAACGACAAACAGAAGTGTCGTTAAAGGTAGTGTTTCTCTTCGACAAATTCATTCACACCTTTTTGTCATATTCAAATGTCGAAATTACACTGGTGCATAAATTAACACACCAACACAGCGATTCACATGAATTACAATTTTTGAAAATGCTATCTGGGTATTGTTTTATGGTCTTGTAAAATTGCCTAAAACTACACAGATTATTAGATGAGATTTTTTTGAGTCACAACATGAATACCGGTACAGTATCATAGAATATTTATTAAATGTCAAGTTCCTGTATTCAATAATAATAGCATCAAAGTTATTTGGTACAATAACAACATTGTTTTTGGAAACTATAGATATTATTAAATTTTATGTGATATGTAAATTGGTGTTGACTATAATATAACTTTTTCGATAAAAACCCCGTTTCCTATTTAATGCAAATATTTGGAAATGGGTTAATCTGAAAAATCTCATTTTGAGCATATAAAATATTTGTATGTTTACAGTAGTCAAAGTTCTATGATCTGACAAATCAAATATTAAAATAAAATCACAGTCACGGTTCACATCGCCGAACACATGTACGTATTATAATTAATACGAATGGCTCATGTTTTCAGGCAATTTGTTGACAATTCCGTTCAATTAACTTATTTGCTTATGGAATAATTTATTATGTTGAACAGTACACAAAATCAATTAGTTAAATTGACAGTAATTTTATGTTTCATTCGGTAAAGATTGTGTTGCATGATATTACAATAAATACATCGAAAATTGATTTTTTTTGCAGCCCACACTATTTTATTTTGAGAGTACGCATTAAAAATTATAATTGGCTCTAGAGTTGGTAACTACAGCACAATCGAAATAATTATATTACACCAATCATATGGTTTCAAACAAATTTTAAAAATATTTCTTTAAATTTTAAAACTTTATAAAAAATGCGAAGATGAATAGTTTTTGGAACAAAGATTTTATTAATAAGAAGTGATAACTTCTTAGCATCCAAAATAACCAACTTTAAAGCCCTGTCGCGGATCATTTCAAACACTTACAACAATATATATATATATATATATATTGTTCATGGGCTATATCATGAAAATCTTAAATTGCAGCGAATGTTTGCCACCCACTTCTATTTCCTCAGGTTGAGAAAGCATTATGTTGAAGTAATTTTGATTGTATAAGAAATTCAGTTGCATATCTTGCATTAGAATCTGTCGATGGTGAAGTTGTTTAGATTGGCATGTTCCAAGAGAAGTTGTCCCCAAGATCCGGACAATCATCTCAATTTTATATTTGGAAGGGCAGCTTTGGAAGCCGATTTTCGGATAGTACGGATTTTCTTGAAAAATATGTATGGTTGTTATCAGGAAATGGCGTTTCCAACCAGCATGGACCTTTTTAAGGGCATTTATTTTCTATTTTCGATATAATTTGTCTTTAATTGTACAACTTTTGTCAAAATAATTTATTTGTTTTTGTTTCTTCACAAAATAAACTAATTGTCAGCATGGCAATTTAATTTCTATAACAACAATGTTGTTTTTGTAAAATGTTCGTTGTTGTAGCTGCTGTATACGCCTTGTATTACACCACAATAAAAACCTTAAAATAAAAATTTAAGAATTATCGACATTCAGCAAAGGAGACAAATATGAGTATATCATCACAGGCGATATATGTACCACACATTTATTATGATATTAGCATGCAATTTCCATAGCAAATCGTCGATTTATGATTTTTCTGAATTGTGTGTGGGGATTTAAAAGAGCGGATGGACAATAATTTACTTGTATACCCTCAACCGTAATATGAAAGGTATATAAATACAATCGAGTACGGTTATAGCGAACTTGTAGGGACCAAGAAATTTTGTTCTTAATTTTATTAATGAAACTGTCATTACAGTTGTAACTTTTTTTTGTAAAATTTGCCAGAGTTAGTTTTAAACGTAACTTTTGTAAAGTGCAAAGTTTGGAACAAAAGACACTCCATTCACTTGATATCGAGTTTTAAACATCTGACACTAAAAGGAGTGAACCGATCTAGGTTTCACTAAAATATATGTTTTTAGGTTTATAGGCGTGATTTGCAGCAAAACGTTGGTCATTTGTGGGAGAAATACCAGAACTTAGAACTTATTTAGGTTTGGATTTGGAGTAACTACCTTCGAGCATTACAAATTATCACAATAAATCTATGAGGATTTTTTGGGATTTACCCATATAAAGTAAATTTAAATGAATACTAATTACCTTATGTATGTATTCGGGTGTGAATGTTGCACTTCAAAATTTTTAGTAGGCTACACATTCTGATATTAATGTTATCGCACTTTCAAATATTACGCCGATTGCGAAATTTTGTCATGTTCTGGATTTCGGTGATGATCTGTTAATATTTATGGGATCAAATGGACAAAATTTGTATACCCTCCCCAATTTGGTGGAGTGATTATTAAATGTGTCATTCCATTTGCAACACCTCGAAATATTCACCGGAAACCCCACAAAAGTATATATATATATATATATATATACATACACTCAATCAGAATAAAATTCTATGTCGATGTATGCGTGTCTGTGAGATATATCTCAATCTGAACCCATTTTTTCAATAGGGTTCGTGCTTGGGCCAAATAAGTGACATATGCCAAATTTCATCAAAATCGGATAATATATGCGACCTGTACTTTGTTCACAAAAATGCATGGTCGGACGGACAGGCGGACGGCATATTCTCAAAAGGAACCATGGTACTATCTCGATTCCTTTTGCATGTTACAAACATGTGCACAAAGACATAATATCCTGTACCACAGTGTGGTGAAGGGTAAAATTGTTAATATTGACCCAACTCGGTATTTTGGGAAATTTGGGCACGTTTTTCAACCAATTTCACTACCCAAAATTTTGAATATTGATCCCCGTTTTGCTGTAGCCCCATAAAACTAGAATTTAAATCATATTTCTCTTACGTCTTTTTCGGTATATTCTTACATCATCTTCGGTATATATCATAACGTAGGTTTTCTTCTAGGAGCCCTCATTAATTTTACATATTTTGAATCTCATCCTTATGGTGGAGGATGGTCTAAACAGGATGGTGTTTGGATCATGTTTGGACCTGTAGTGCGAATAGAAAAACATAAAAAAATAACTATTAAAATTTTCATTCTATGGCGAACATGTTTGCTCCAAGAAGACAGGTTCCAGAGAAGTTACAAACCTATGAACGAAGAAATATTAATTAATTGACGTTTAGTATTTTAAGAGTCGAAAATATATACAAAATCGAGATTTAGAAGTAGTGAAAATTAAAGTCCAGTGTTAATTGGGTATGGTCCTCTCACCGGTATTTTACAATGTCTGAATAAAGTCACATCAAATTATTAAGAAGCGAACGCCATGATTTGTACTGAGGCGTGTATGATTTGCGATCAATATCCCACACAATATGTGCAATGGAAAAATGGAAGATCCAACGTCAAAAGGCGTCGTATTAGTAAGAATCGGTTCAGATTTCGATAAAGCTACCATATATGGATGGTGATGCGAGAGAGCGGGTTGAAGCGGGTTGATACGCCGTGTAAATATAATGAAATGTCAAGAAATTACATGAAAACAAAACATAAAAGATATTAGTAAATATATTCGATTCTTGGCTTTACTTGTGGTTCTTTTTTTCTATTCAACAAATAAATTACCTTCAGAGGTCTGTTAATATTAACGCGTAGACGTTAGTTCACAAGACGGTTAACAGCAAGGTTCGCGTGGATCGCAGAGGCTCGGTAGGTTGTAGGCCAATATATCAAACTTATACATCAGCTAAACACCCGTTCTTTGATATTTTGCCTCTAGAGCGACTAGAAAATCTGACAAAAAGTTTTCAGTTCATTGCACCCCTAAATATCACCTCAACATCTCCGAAAATTATAGGTGTCATCCTTGACCATAACCGAAACTTCATGTACAATTTCGCCCTCTAGTGGATTAATAGTAATGCTAAACAATATCTTAACACATAACTGCCACATCCGAGTACATACAACACTATAATCGGTATCAATTTAAAGGTCAATCACTCCTCTTGCATATACTATCAACTTTTCAGGTCTATGTTTTTCAGGAGTAAATATATACTCTAGAGAATACAAATTTTGGCATTTTTTCACACATAAGTCTGGGTCAATTTTAACCGCTAAATATTGCCCGATCTTCATGAAAACAGCCATGCTTATTTGATTTTGCATCTGGATCATATGATAAACAGGATGGGTAGGTTTATCATGCTACTACCAACTATGCATGACTATTGCATGCCGTGACGAGAATTAATCCTCTTTCTTTTCTGTCTGTACTGTTGTAAGTTTTCCTCTAGTTTTCTTTTTTTTAGTATCATTCTTCTTTTCTTATGAATTTGCACGCTTTAAATTATTTAACAGGTAGTAACTACGGACAAGAAACCAATTGAATTTTTGGCAAAGATCCCCCCATACGACGAACATTGAGGCTGGATAAATATGTGTGTCAGCAATAAAAAGGACCTTTGTAAAGCCCAATATGCCTTCTCCTAACTTTCCTTTATATTGCAAAACTTCGATCACTAAACAGGCAAAATTCAAATAAATACAAATTTAATTGAAGAGATATATTTCCCCATTTTGAATTTGGAAAACATATATTTTTTATCTGGGAGGTACCCACAGGAAAATCAACTCAATTCACAAAATTGAGGTAAAATTGTACAAGAAATAGCTAGGACTACTAGAAAGCAATAAAATTTTTCATAAAAAAATAAATACATATTTGAAATATAAACGCAACAGTTGGGAATTCTCCTAAAGGGACGATTCGACTTCGAGGGGCTTTAATAAAGTAGAGCAATATATTTTTGTCATATGTGGGGCAAGATCGATTTATAATAAAATATTTGACATCACACAAAATATCAGTCACAACAGAATGAAGGGGTGGATGAATTCGGACACTCCCTTCGAGAATTATCGTGAGTACGGACATATGTAAATAAACTTCAAATTCTCTGAAAAGAATTTGGTCCAAAGAAACACGGGGTCTAACACAATATTTCAAAAAGCAAACAATATTTGGCGTAGCAAAGTGTATATACCCACATATGAAAAATGCAAATATTGAAACATCATTATTTCACATTTCTGACGCAAAAATGTGCACTTCTGAGATTTTTCAAACAAAAAAGCCACTTGAAATATGCACGTTTAATGTCACTTATTCTACGAATTGTATACAACACTTCTTAACAAATTATTACGTAAAACGATTCCAGCTCAAGTCACAGATTTGCTCTTCGTTATTATTATTGTGACTTAATGATGACAAATCTACGTATTATGCGTCTGTTTGTTGGATAAATAAATAAAATTGAATAGGGATTTAAAGCTCTTGGTTTTTCTTTGAAATGAATTAAAAATAGTGGAATGAATATTTTCATAGAAAAAATGTGACGTTTTATTCTCTATGAAACGAAAGACTTAAGACACAAGCGTCCACACCAGTTATATGTGTGAGGTGGACAATGAAAACAAACGAAGAGGGTTTTTTGGCAGTTGATAAGAATCTTTTTTGAGTCACTGGTAAATATATGCAAATTAATATGTTTTTTTTTCATTCAAGCTATGACTACCAAAAAATAAAAACAACAACTCATTTTTAAATCTGATAACAACAAACAACCAAAAAAATACGTTGAAAATTTACTTGTTTCTCTCTCGTGTTAGCGTTTTTTATTTCTTCGTCTGCTAATGGCAGAATACATGAGCGTAGTCAATTTTGTAAAGTGGGTATCATTAGAGTCATTATGTTTGTTGGAGTATTGGGCGGATGCTAATGTGATGTGCCATTATTATTTGTTGTTGTGCGTATTAGTTTTGTAGTTGTCGAAAACTTCAGAACCATGACTTAATGCCGTAATCAGGTGAATAGAAGAACAAAAAACAAAACGAGAGAGGAGATAAGAGAAACTCAGCATCTGTATAATTTATCTTTATTTTTGTATAAAAATGCTGGATATCTGGATTTTGGAAATAAGTTTAGTAACGACATCGCTACAGTGAAGAAGATCTTAACCAAAAGAATAAACAAGCAAAATGTTCAAATTCGTAAGTGGCCAACGCATATTGATTTAATAAATTAGTTAATATATGTGACATTGTCACTGTCATTGTAGTGGTGGTGGTGTTTGTAGTGCTAATGTGTAATTGTAAATTATAAATGACTTTGAAAATTATTTGTGATCTTGAATTGATTTTGAAAAGTGAATTGATTTTGTTTAGATTATAGATAATAAATAATCGATTTTTAATACATGTGTTTGTAATTAAGTGAAGATAATCAATTTTACATATATGTATGTATATTTTACATACATACACAAGTTATGAATTGCTTAATTTTTGTGTATGATTAATAATTAACTTTTGGAATTGGGGTTTAAAACGTGTATTTTAACTAAATGATAAATTGCGTCTTAAATCGATGCTGAAAAAATGGTACTTAACATATTTGGGAATAATAATGGTTAATTGAACTGTTCCACATGACTTGAAGCGAAATAGAGCCAAAACTGGATATTCCAAAAATTAATCTTATGCTAACACCTGAGCTAAAATTAAGATTTACCGAGATTTATAGCTCGGCTTGTGTATAATAGAAAAAGCCCGAACCTTTATATAATGACTTTGTCATTGTAAGTTGTCTGCTGGCTGGTTTGTGATCTGAGAAAATTAAATACAAAATTACAAATACAGACAATTAGACCATGTTGGACGAATTTTCTTTTTATTTCACAGGAATCTGGAATGCCAACCGAATCTGTTTAAAAATGTCGGTTTACAGACCTCGCTGAAAAAGTTTAAATCGACTGTACTAGTTTATTCCAAATTCAAGTCAATAGAATTTATATAAAATTAAACGAAATATGTTTAATCATAATAGTTCTTACGACTAATTAGTTTCGATAATTAATGTATTTACATATATATATATATATATATATATATTATTGTTATTTCCAAAAATACCTAATTTCAAAATTATAAAAATTCTTTTTCTTTTGTGTGTTTTTTTTTAGATCTGCATCTTGGCTCTTGCTACCGGCGCCTTCGCTGCTGCCATTGAAAGCACCACCGAAAAACGTGAAATTATTCCCTTGCTTAAATACGAACGTGTCAACAATCCCGATGGCTCTTTCCAATTCACTTACGAGGGTGGTGATAAATCATTCCGTGAAGAAACCGCTCATGTTGTAGATGCCGGCACTGAAGATGAAGCTCTTGAGGTTTCAGGCTCATATCGTTATATCGATGAAGAGGGTCGTGAAATCGAAGTACACTATACAGCCGGTAAGAATGGTTTCATTCCAGTCGGTACGAACATTTTGTCGGAAATCTCTGAAGGTGCCAAGGCTGCTGCTAAAGCTGCCCAGGAACAAGTTGAAGAAGAGAAGAAGAATGCTAAATCGCTTTAATTTACATGAAGTTTTATTGTAGCAATAGCATTATGTACTCAGGGAATATAGTCAGTGTAAAATGAAATAAGTATTTGTATATTTATAAGATATGTAAATAAAGCTTTATACTAGTTTAAGAAAAATAAATAACAGTTTTAATTTTCTTTGAATGTTATTTAGAGCGAAACAAAAATACTATAGAGAAACAAAAAATCGACCCTGTTTCTTAAGGCCATTGGAATTGTCTTTTTTGTAATTAAAGAAAGGTCAATCTTTTCGATGGCGGTCATGATTTCCGAGTGGTTCTCTATGAGTGATTCTCAAAACATAAAACGTTTATCTCACAACAGTGTTTTTACGAATGGCGGGCACGATAACTCAAAAATAAATAATGAATAATACATAACTATCGTATGAAATATATAAATGTAATTGGTGAAGATTATCCATACTTTCCAGCTGATTTTTTTGGTTGAAAATAGGCGATTTTCCAAAAAATATTTTTTTTCTTCTTTAAATTTTCAAATACATGTATGCAAAATTGCAAGTCTTTAACATAATGTATGCTCAACCGGCTGACAAGATTGAAAATTGTCGAAATTTAAAATCGAGAATGGGTGGGATCCCTTAAATGGATAATAAAATTTAAAAGGCTGACAATATGTGTTTTACTTGTACAAGTAACTGACGACAGAGAGAGAGAGAGAGAGAATACGAATCTTGGATACTCTAATTCTACGTCGATTTTGGTACGATCGCCAGTTTTTTGAAATCACGTGGTTAACGGTTATCTCCCAAATTCCGTTATTATATGAATTTATACTGCGAATTGAATGTAATGATCACTACTGACCCAATAACGATCATATGTCTCATTTTTCAACCGATTTTCCTAATTAAATGATTTCATACACGTTTTCAACTAATAACCAGTATCGGTCTGTGGTTTGTGGTAGAGCCACAACATACATACTATTGCCTTCTCTTGCACGACGAATCTTTTTTCATTTAGCGGTGTCCTCAAAAGTCCTGGATGAGCAGAGATCCCTGGCTCCATTTTCCCAGAAGTCATCACCTCCAATAGGATGTTAACGAGGGTCACTTGTAAAAGAGTCGTGAGAAGCATGGTAGCTACCAATGTCGTAAGATGCTGGTGGTCACTTCTGCCTTTTATCCCCTATCAGCGATTATTCCATTGTAGAGAGCAAGCAAATATTAGTTCTTATGGTAGTAGATTTGGTTATTAAGCTGGGCAGAGGCAATAGTACTTAGGTGATCAGTCTCGAACTATTTGGCCTTCTACTGGTAATAGCTTCGGCTATGAACCTGACCGAAGGTTTCGGTACCATGGGTGTCAGGGCCCCATAGGTTTGCGGATGTAGCCTAATAGTTGGTACTGGCCCTTTCGGGCGCATATTAGTTGGAGTAGATGGTTATTAAGCTGGGCAAATAGTACGGGTGATCAGTCTCGAACTGTTTGGCCCTCTACTGGTAATAGCTCGGTATGTGACCGAAGTTTCCGCATGGGTATAACCGGGTGCCTGACCCATAGAAAGCCAGGAGTTGTAGATGGGCATTCTTGGTATGGAGGAGTTAGTTGACGCTTTGTATTAACTAGTGTTTACAGCACCGTGGTGTAAGACCCTAAGGTAGGTACCCACTGTCTCTAGGCATCTCTGTACCAATGGAAAATTCATTAACTTCTTCCTGCTGTGAAGCATCAGCTTTCGTAATGGGTTTGGATTTGGAAAATTATGTTCCGTACTAGTACTAGCATCGTAGATGTCGTTCGCGAAATAGTTGCAGCGGAGGATGCTTAACTTGTAGAATTCACGTCTGAGTATTGACACATTTGTTGTAAGGATGTTTTTATCCTCTTTATCCATATGTCAGTTTTCTTGTGAGGTCGACAATGGCACAATAGTTAACCCAATTTATGTCCAATTGAAACACAATTTTGCACAGCGCACTGAATGAACCTATAAATAGGTTCAGATTTAGATATAGCTACATTATATATGTCCGCCCCATTTTAAAGAATCGGAAAACCAAAGGCCCTATTTTCGATTTACACGAAGTCTTGTATAGCGTATCAGATGGAATGTTGAGTGTGAAGCTTTCATATATATCTTCGTCCGATTTTATGCAATTGGTGCACCAAAGTGCCTATTTTTTGTTTGATTTACACGAAATTCAACAGAGGTTATTGAATTGAGTTTATAATGATTTGTGTTAAGATATGTAAAAATCGGTTCAGATATGGTAGTTATATCTAACCATATATATTTTCGTCCGATTTTGTGTAAATTTTGCACATGGTATTGAATTGCGTCTACAATGACGTGTGTTAAGTTTTGTTGAAATTGCTTCAGAATAACGCTAATCGAGAGCGCACTGCGCTGCAGGATACCAAAATCGCTGCCATATAGCTCCCATAGATAATTGTGCTTCCTTTCATATTTAATTTCGCCGATTTAATTTTTAAGGTATTGCCTACTCTGTACCCAAAGTGGTGATGGGTGTCATATAGACATGCTATATTATATTCAATTTTATTTGATTTCACAATGGTATATGTATGGGTTGATTGAAATCGGTTCAGATATCTAATTAGATCTCATATTTAATTTCGTACGATTTAATTTTTAAGGTATTGCACATATAAGCATCTCTTCTATGTACCCAAAGTGGTGATGGGTGTCATATAGTCGGCCGCGTCCGACTTTTAAACTTTCCCTACTGCTTTTATATTATATTCAATTTTATTTGTATAATTGCGGAAACACAATTCAGGGAAATCCTTTTAGTATTATAATATTGCCAATTCATCACATTTCAATAAGGCAATTCCTGTTGAGGTTATGCGGATATAGAAACGAACACCTTTAATGTGAAAACGTGAATAGCCACTCTATTCAAGTGTAACTCACTCATAAATGCTTCCATTTAGAGTATTCACAATATTACTACTATTTTTTAATCAAACTCTAGACATCATAACAGCGTTAAATGTCGAAAATGTGTTTTTTTTTTCTTAAATTACAAATTGGTCAATTATGCGATCAAAGCTGAATAGCAGAAAAAAATATTAAAACTTAAAAAATATAACATTTTCAACAAAAAATAATAATACTCGTCACAAGTCAAACGACAGCGAAGAGGATGACGATGATCTCTCCTGAAAAACAATCTAACAATGTAAACAAATGAACATCACGAAAATATCGCCATAAGGATCGCCGCCTCTACAGAAAACCGGCAAAAGAATCGACACGCTGCTGCCCACCACAAAAAATAACTACTTGGCCCGAAAGATAGAAATAAAAGCATTCTGCCACACAATATGACTTCAAGACCGGGCAGAAAGCCACAACACACAAAAAACAGATCAATGCAATTCAATGCGATACGACAAGCTGTAATGCAGTTAAGCACAGAGACCGCGCAGTTGTGCTGTGTTGTTAGTGTGGAATTGGTAAAGTTCAAAATTCCAGACACACCTCCGCTAGCAGAGCACGGCAGCATTTAAACCAATTTTTGTGTCTAGTTTTTGGTGATTTCGGTCATAGTTGTTGTCGTTGTTTTTGCTGGCGTCATTTTTTATTCATGTTTTGGGTTTTTAGTTTCAAATATATCGGTCATACCGACGACAGACGTAGGGCAAAGGCGGGTAAGTGTGGGGAAAATGTGTCTTACTGACTGAGTTCGCCTTAAAAAAAGTGAAAAGTAAGTAACACACTAAGGCGTTAGACGAGAGACGAACAAACATTTTTCAACATAAATGTTCGTTTCATTCCAAAAAAGACCAGCAAACAAAAGGGGAGGAAGCTGAGATGGCCTTGCTAAGAGGGCCTTAGAGTGGCCAGATATGAAGTTGAACCATATTTATTGGAAATGTTTCCTTAAAATTCAAAATTCCGATTTTATTGGGTGGGTTGGATAATATTGGTCTCTTTATACGTCGAAGACTATGCATTGTGGTAAAACTTATTCATCAGTTCTGTCAGGTTTTGAGGTAAGATGCATTGAAGTAGAATCAGGAAAAAACTTTTCAATAAGAGAGAAGTCCTGTGGGGTGAACACAGAAATTTAACCCTATAATTATGTATACAAATATAGTTGCGGTCGAAAAAAAAGTATTCCTAACAGGCGCCATTAAATCCATCCTGCCTTCTGACAATAGTTTTTATGATGGTCGTCTGCTGTATGTTATTTCACAGCATTAGTTAGTTGTTGATTGTTCGGTTCATTGGACCGTCGCCTTCGCCCAGTTGTGTGGATAATAGAAAAAAAAAACATTTACCATATACACCGAGAAGAAGGTGAAGACAATGAACATTAAACAAATAACAACAACATCCACCACAAACTCATCCAATGATTTACCGGCCGGTTTGATTTTTTGTTTTTTTTTTGTAGAAACTCTTGTGTTAGCTGCTTGCTTGTAAACTTTAAACTTTAACAAAAGTGCCTTAGTTTATTTTTAGCCTTTTTGCGGGTAGATTAAATTTTATGCTGATCAGTGACCAAATATTAAAATGGAAATATCTGCGATACCCTACATTGACACAACTATCGTCTTTGATTTATGTATGTGCCATATACATATTTCGAAATCATTAGGAAAATGGTATTGAAAGTGTGTTACCATTCAATATTTGAATTAGATTCTATTGCGGAATATCCGATTAAGAGGAGAGGGGATTAACCTCAAACGAAAGTTGACATTTTATAGCATAAATATATGACTTTTCATTATTTTTGTATTTGGCTGTTAAAGAATATCGAAAAAAGGTAACATTTTTATACATACCTTGAGAGTGAAACCTTCACATTTTCGGCCCAGTACCGAGTAGGCTGTAATTTTGGATTAAAAGTGGTTATAGAACATTCTACCGGAAAGTGTTAAATATAAGTCCCTATGACATAACCCGCATAAAAAGTTCCCGCTAAATTTTCGGTTTTTTATGGATTGTATATTCCGAGTTCCTGATGAATAAAGATATTTCGACTGTTCA